GGAGTCAATATTCTCATCTCTTCCCTCATCCAAGAACCCCTGTGAACACAGTCACACTGGAAGAGACACCTTGCTGGAAAAGCAAATCTACAACAAGGGAGAGGAGGAGTTTGCTCACTGCTGCAAGAGACACCTTGCTGGAGCACAGGCAGAACAGGCTGGGAGGGAATGGAAAAGCAAAACCACAGAGCACAGGCCTTGCTGGTTCACAGCACCACAGACACAATGACACAAACACATCCAAAGGGACAGAAATGCCTTGGCTCAGCACTGCAGGGGCATTAGGGAGTGACCAGGGACTCATCCCAAAAGCCCCAGCCACGGACTGCTCCAGGCTGCAGCAGGAAGGGAACGGGCAGGGCTTGTCCTAAGGACTGATTCTGGCACAGATATTTCTGTGACTGTCCCCTGGCAGCTCTGGGCACAGCCAGGCCTGGGGACAGCACAGCAGCACCTTCTCCTGTCCATGGAGCCCTCCCAGCTGCTCTCCCCAAGCAGGAACCAGATGGTCCAGAAGCTCCTGACCCTGGGAGGATGGGAGGCAGCTCAGAGGGACCAACCAAAAATTCTGCTGAGCACCTGGGCCCTGTTCTTTAACAGATTCCAAGCACTACAGATTCCCACTGCCCCACACCACCCCGTGAGCTCCAAGCAAGGACAAGCAGCCTGAGAAGTCATTAATGCTCTGGAGGATCCCAGCTCGCAAAAGGATATTGAGGGATGTTAAAGGTAAAGTTTACTATGGAGGATCACAGCTCCCAAAAGGATATTGAGGGATGTTTAAGGTAAAGTTTATTCTGGAGGATCCCAACTCCCAAAAGGACATTGAGAGATGCTCAAGATAAAGTTTATTCTGAATCTGGTTATGCTTGTTTTGGCCAAGAGTCCTCTGCAGGGTGAGGGCTCCAGGTGACACTAATGTGGAGTGTGACTCTTCTCTGAGGTCACATTCTGAGGAGTGACAGGAGCACCAGTCAGCCCAGATGGAGCTGTGGCTCCAAATTCCCACAAATTCGTGGCTCCAAATTCTGCTCCAAATCCATCTCTGACAATAGCTGGGGGGAATCTGAATTAAGACTAAAACACAAGAGATAAAATACAGCCACAGAGGCAGGAAGGAGCAGCAGGAATCAGTCCATAGAGACTCAGAGTCACCGACACTTCTACTAGAAACCGGATTATCACAGAACTGGAGGCAGGAGGTGCCAGCAGAGAATGGGTTTGAAAACTTCCACCACGAGTAGAGCAAAGGAGCAAAGGCATAATTCCTCCAGTTACTCAGTTCACAGCTTGCTGTGGGCTGCAGACACGTTTGGCCTCCATTGCTCTTGTGCAAGAATGAACATGAAACATTGAAGGGCAAGAAAAACACTCCAAAAATGGGGACAGAAATTACAGGGATCTGGCACTGGGACAGGAACTTCCTTCAGTATTCCAATGGCCACCACGGAGTGCTGGCTCCACCACTGGGACAAATTTAATCACCAAAACCAGTTTTACAGACATAATCCCAGGTTCAAGGTTTAAAAGACCCAGCAGAAAAACATCTTTGCTCAGGGGCCTCAAGATTCCAGGGAGCCTGGAGCATCCATTGCTGCCTCCTCCTGGCACACCAAGGGAAGGGGCACCAAAATACATCAGCTTTTTTTTAAAAAATTAGATATGGCCAAGGCTACTTCAGCAATCACAAAAGTTTCTCTAGTTTTTTTTTTTTTGACCCAAGCATTTTTAAGTAATCTCAATATAAATTTTGGCAAAGTCTTTCTCTACTTGAATCTGGACAAATGGCACCTGCTCAGCCCCAGCATCAGAATTTGGGGCCACACCTGCTATATTCACAGGAGTTAGGAATGCTGATACTGACCCGCAGTATCACCTGAACTCTCCCTGAACTTATTTCAATCCACATATCCATATTCAAATCCATATTAAATGGATTTCAATCCACATATCCGTATTCAAATCCATATTAAATGGATTTCAATCCACATATCCGTATTCAAATCCATATTAAATGGATTTCAATCCATATATCCATATTCAAATCCATATACTGCCCACATCAGAAGTGGCAGGAATATCCTTTGCTCAGACAGAAACACCATGAAATCAGGTTTGCTGAAACCACACCAAACCACACTGAGCTCCTTCCCAGGCAAGGAAGGAGACATTTTACAGGAAAAATCTAAATCTGATCTGAACTGCCTTTGCTTTGGGCTCAGCCAAGAGCATTACTGAGGTCCCTCCTTCCCAAATTAGTCAGGATGGTTTGGGTTTGGGTGGGATGAGACCCTCCAGGGCCATCGTGTCCAGTCCCTGCAGTGAGGGACATCCTCAGCTGGACCAGGCTGAGGGTCACTCTGTGAGGTCACTCCACTTCCACCCAGAGCTGCCAACCTCGCCCTGCTCCTGGGGGCAGCAAATGGGAACGAGCTCAGGAACTGCAGACAGAGCCCAGGGAAACTTCAGGGGCATCTGAACCTGGAACCTGACCAAAATGTACACACACCTCTGCCAGCAGAGCAGATCCCCCATTGACAACACTGAAAAATTCCATTTTCCCTCTCCTTCCAGTGACTCTGACTGGATAAATTACTGTTTTAAGAGGGATGACTGGAAACTCTATGTCCTCAAGAGGCTTGAGTCTGCTGATCTATTATTGTGAAATTATCCTGTGAAATTCTCTTTCTGTGCAGGGCTGAGCCAGTGGGCAGAGACACAAAACTCTCACAGCAAAGCAGAGAAATGGCCATGTGAACTGAGGAGCACAAAGCTGTTTGTGACCAACAGCATCACTTCTGCACTCAAAGCAGCTCAGAGCTGTGTGTTTCACCTTTGCTCACAAAACCTCTGTCAGCCACAGGGTGACTGATTAAATTTGGGATTCCAAGCTCATTGGCCATTGTTCTGGAAGCTGCAGCTTGGCCAGGAGGTACCAGCAAGTTACAAGGGTGTAACCTTGTTCCTGTTACCACAGGAACATCACCAGAGAGGGATGGACCACAAGAACATCACCAGAGAGGGATGGACCACAGGAACATCACCAGAGAGGGATGGACCACAGGAACATCACCAGAGAGGTGCACAGGGAGGTGCAGCACAGCCTAAAAGCAGTCAGAGCTACAGAGCAATGCACCACAGAGAGGGAATGCCCAGAAATCCACCCCATGGCACTGCCAAGGGGGCAGAGACCCAGAATGGCCATGGCATTGACACCAGGGCAGAGCTCTGGAGCTGCCCATGGCACTGACAGTGGGGCAGAGATCCAGAGCTGCACTGACAATGGGACAGAGCTCTGGAGCTCCCCAGGCACTACAGTGGAGCAGAGAGATAACCTGTGACACCTTCCTTGGGACCCACAGGCTGGGCAGAGCCACTGCCACAAACACATTCTGCTACACACATGATCTCTCACCACTTTCTCCACTTCTTCTCTCTCCCACTGAGTGGCTTCTCTCACCATTTCCATCTCCTAGGAGAGAGCAGAGTTAGAGCCAGCTCAGCCCATGCTCTCTCCACACCTGCAGCACCTGGAACCTCACCAAGGTGTCACAGTCCCGTCCTAGAGTGTTCCTGATCCTTGTGCTGGGCCCTGCTGATCCCAGGCCATGCCCACAGCACTCTGCAGGCTGCATGCACCAGGGGAGACACCAGACTTGCAGAAAGTGCTCCCACACCCACCTTCTGCAGGATCTCCAGCTCCTCGGGGCTCAGGTCCCGGTCGATGGAGGAGATGCTCTCCAGGCTGTTCTTGCGCCCGATGCCGGCAGCGAAAGGGTTGGCAATGATTCCTGGGGACATCTGCAGAGCAAAGAGCACATCATCACACCCCATGATTCCTGGGGACATCTGCAGAGCAAA